AGACTCAACCACATCACTTCGTTTTCGCTCTTTACAGGTAATAATCTTTTGTTGTACTTTAATCACTCTTTAATCACGCTTACTCTTTTGGATATTACTTTGTTGATTACTGATGTATGTTTTGAGTCGATTTGTTTGGGAGCTAAGATTTAGAGATTTACAGATTCCCAGCCCTTACAAAAATGTTCTATGGCGAAGCCATGGGATCCCCATGGGACCCCATGGGGAACCCATGGGAATCAAAGAGATACACATGGTGGTCTCTTAAAACACCATGGAGATCTCTTAAAACACCATGGTGTCCCATGGGAACACCATGGACAGCTAAAGAAACGTCATGGTGTCCCATGTGAACACTATGAGCAGCTACTGTAACCCCATGGCACCACCATGTGGTCTCATGTTAGTCTCTTTGAATACCATATGGTGGTCTCTTAAAACACCATGGCGATCGCCATGGGACATTTTTGTAAGGGAGCAAAATGACTTCATGTTTAACATTGTTGAGGAAGTCCTAGAATTGTTAATTTGTTTAATGTTTAGCAAAGCAGCATTTTCTTGATATTTTTTTACTTCGTTTTGTGTAAATATTCCCATTTACCCAGATGGCGGGTGCCGCCAAGATTTCGGCGCGAACCATAGATGATTGTGTTTAATATATTTCATTTACTGTAATGTGTGTTTAATTCTTTAAGTTAGTTATTATACATTATTATATTATTCTTTATCGAAGACTCATCCACATCACTTCGCCTTCGCTCTTCACAGAATAAATCGGCAAAAACAAGATCTTTGTCGCCGCTTGCCTCTTTCCTATTTCGGCCCAATTTCTACCTGGGCTACATATATACATTTTGTGGTGTATAAAAACACACACATACACAGTAATAAAAAAAAATATACCATTCATCGATACATTTTTAAATATTGCCTCATTAACCCACAATTCTGGAATTTTGCTACATTTCTGTCACATGCACGTACTCAGGGTTATGCTTAAGAATTTCGCATCGAGTAAGGGCTTGTATGATAATAATTAAAATCCAGGAACAGCAATAAAAATTGGCAAAGACAAGCCCAATCTATGTTCACAGAAACACTTTTATTTTGTTGGAATTTAATAGTAATACACTGCTCCTGCATTGAATGAGTGCTTTCAAGTAGATAAAAAGTTAACGCAAGTTGCGGTATTAAAGGGCCTATTCCGCCATGACGTTCTTTATCTACTCCCCACTAAGTGTGGACTGTTCGCCTGTACCGTTCGGTGTTGTTTTCGTCATTAGAATCCCCGTTCTCATGTCCATTCAACACGAGAACGGTGTTTCCAATGGCTACTGAGTGTTTCCAATGGCTACCAGAACAGTTTCAGTTTTTGTACATGTGTCTTGAAGTCGTGACAACCGCCCAATTCTATACATTTCAGTATTACGCACATCGTGAAAAGATGGCACTGATTGGTCGAGAGGACGATCTGGAGCGAATCAACAAGCACGCTCTGCGCATGGCACGTGAGGTGGCTGACCAAACTGGTACTCTGATGGCTGGTAACATCAGCAACACCAACATCTTTGTGGACACTGTGCCCAATTACCGAGAGAAAATCAGGCAGATTTTCAAAGTAGGTATTCGTCATATTTTTTATCAAGCAAACATTCCTTTCACAATAAGTTCATTGACTGTGTGCATTTGGTTGCAAATTGTTCACTTCTGAACGCAGACATATAGTTACGATGTACACGTGCATTGTTCAATGGTGATTTATGTGTTAGAGGTATAGGCCTAATAGGTCACGTTTTTGAGCCCATGGAACGAATAATGAAGATTCACTTGCTTGTTTACTTTTGTTCGTTATTTTTGCTTCAGGAAATGAAACCAAAGACTCCTCAAAAATGTTCCACTACAGTACAAGCCTGAAGAACCCATAAAAAGAAGACAATGAGATAAATTACAGTGGTTTTTTGAGGTGGGAGGAAAACCTTTGTAGATTTAACACTTTACAAAGAGATTGGTACAACATTGCTGGGCAATGTTATTTTCAAAGCATTGGTATAGTTACTCCATTCGTTAAATCGGGTACAAATTGACCAATTACATGTGTTGGGGAAGAACCTTTGGTTTGTTGGGATTATGCATACCTAAACTTTTAGTACATTCATTGTTACCAAATTAAAATTACAAAAAAGTACCCTGTAAGATGGCCGTTGTACGCATAAGGTGTATTACGCAATTTGATTATTTTGTGTTTCTTTTTCTTTTTCTCTGTATAGTTGCTATATACTCTGGAAATTACGCGCGCGCGATGTCTCGACGCGCGTCTAGTTTCACACACTAGCCCATATTAGTGAATCACACGTGACCGCGTTTCAGCCAACCAGGATAAAGAACAAGCAGGAGATGTGTTTTAAAAACGAAAATAGCCTCACAATGTTCATTTATTACGTTTACTGCACGTTAAGTCAATCAATAAAAAAATCGGTAATTATGACTACTGTTTTCTAAATTTTAACGGGACAGAGTTCAAGCGACTTAGGGGGTGTAACAAATTATGTTCTGAGTACTACAACTTCCAAAATACTGTTCATTGAAGTAGTTTGGTACTTTGACTTATATCTGAAAATTAAATTTGCAACAATTTATTGTTTCGCAATAGCAATGTTACAGCGTCAGCGCTATGCAGTCTGTGAATGAGTTCACATGAAGTTGAAGCTTCGCTAGTCAGCATCATGGCACCAACCATCATGTGTATGGTAGTAACTAGAAACAACTCAGCATCCTGGGTTAGTCGGTGGACATGGATCCTCACATCTGTGGTTGTACAGAAAGATGCTGTCGTAGCCAGGGAACGCGATCTCCCAGCAGCAGAGCGGGGCCACATACTGCCACGTGCGATCGCCGCACACGCTGGGGTCGTACGTTGCGTACACGTAGATCGGACTACCTGGAGGCGCGTTCCTCCGCACGCTCTCGCAGGCCAGCTGGCCCGCCCCGTCGGTGAACATAGCCCCGCCCATCCAGTCATGGGCCTTATTCAGGCAGTCGTTGGGGCAGTTTCGAAGGACCCGTCTGCAGCCCACGCTCAGCCAGTGGTGGTAGCTCGGGTTATGTAGGTCCTGCAAGACCGATAAACCATTGGCGCTTTCCCCTGCTCTTAGCTCGGTTGTGCTCCATCGAAGATCGCAATAACAGCTGCGTCAAAGAAAAACAAAACATACAAAGCTCAGTGGTAATGTAATGATTCGAACTGGATACTAACTTGTTAGTAGTTTTCCCCTTTAAATGACGGAAGTCGGAGGCAGGGGCGTTAATCCGGGAAGGGGGGGGTATACATCCCCGGCCAGTTTTTGACCGGGGGGGGGGTGGGGATGGGCAATTGGATCTCCCACCCCTCACACTTTTTCGTGTTGAGAAAAAAATGCGGATTTTGAGGTTTTTTTTTTTAACTTCCCATCAACCAGAATGTCATCAATCGAAAAATGAGATGTTTCTAATTAAATGCGCCGTTTTAATGTGTTGATGTTTAAGGCGCGTACGCACATGTATACATTTCTTAAAGATGTATGTGCTGTATTATGAACAACGCCCCTAGTGTAATGGTGTTGTCCACGCCCCCCCCCCCCCCCCCCTCCCTCCCCCTTTGAATGAATATCCACGGCTGGCATTTTGGGGGATTTTGGTCGCCCCTATCCCCCCAAAACCCTCAAAAATAGCCCTCAGGGTGGAACCTGCGATGACCTCGGTAAGGCCATAAGGCTTGATTATGTTTCCTATTCAACCGCTGTTTATAAGACATGAAAAGGTCCACCTCATAAAACCACCTTCCATCGACTGGCTATGGCCCTGATGATTTGTATTTTTCAGATGCTTTCAGGTTAAAAATGAAGGAATTATTACAAAGCAAAATTAATCCACTATGACACATAGTTTCAGAACAGAGGTTCGATTTGTTTTTGTAAACCATATGCGGAGGAATTGGAGGTTGGTGGCCTGAACTTTATCAACTGATCACCCAACGGTAAAAGTTGGGGAAAGTCCCTTCGATACGACTGATGTCGTGCCAAAAACCGTCCGGTGCCAAATAGTGTCCGCTAACTAGCATAATGCGATCTGATTGGTCGTGCGTCCATGACGTCACATTGTTTACGGAAGCTTGCAAATAGTGTCCAACGGTAAAAGTTGGGGAAAGTCCCTTCGATACGACTGATGACCTCGAAGTGCAAGGGCCAATGACGGGGAAAGCAGCGGGGGAGAATTGTCTTCGAATGATTGATGGTTAAAACGCACGCAAAGATGTAAATGTTCGTGTTATGCTTATGATTATGATTTATCTTGTCGTTGGAGACATTGATAGGTGTCGGCGATGCGTGCTTCGATCAAGCTTCTTAAAAAGTTGCAGGGTTTCAGACCTTTTAAAGCGCAACCCTCACACAGACTAGTCTATGCAATAGACCATGGACATTTGAGCAGATTCGCTGATTAATTGTACAAGACAACCGCATCTTGACCTCTAGATTTTGACCAAACAGAAATAACGTTGGTTATAATGCTACACGGAACAGTACTATACTACACACACTACGGCGTTACTTTAGGCCTATTTGTACGTACTGCATGTGTTTCAAACAGGTGAACTGACACGAAAAAAAAACACATTTTGCACAAATATAATGTTTACACTATTAGGGAAACTTAGTCAAATAGTTATCACAGATAACAAGGAAAACGTTAAAACAGATTGTAAAATGTAAATTCAGGTGAAAAGAGATCTTATCTATACGACGCCTTGACATCTCGACAAGGCACGCAATAGGATGCACGCTAAGCGCGGACACTATTTGCAAGCTTCCGTAAACAATGTGACGTCATGGACGCATGACCAATCAGATCGCATTATGCTAATTAGCGGACACTATTTGGCACCGGACGGTTTTTGGCACGACACCTGTCTTAATCATCAATCATTCGAAGAAAATTCTCCCCCGCTGCTTTCCCCGTCATTGGCCCATGAACTTCGAGGTCATCGGTCGTATCGAAGGGACTTTCCCCAACTTTTACCGGACGGTTTTTGGCACGACACCGGGCTTCGAGGTGAGCCAGTTGGAATCCTAGTTGCAATCCTATAAATACGGCACACCGGTTGTGGAGCTGGCACAGAACGGCCAAGAAAGTTAAGGGAAGCGACTTCAACTGCCGAACAGACGATTTCAAGTTGAGAGAAGCCGACACTTTATAGTTGCAATAATTCGACAAGATGAATGCCTGTCATGTCATCTTTGTTGTCGCCATTTCGGCCATCATGATCCTCGGTGCAAATGCAGACCGTAAACAGTAAGTTCCGATTAAAGACTTGATTTAAAGCAAAGCAAAACAAAACAAATCTCCTGTTTCTGGTACACGCGCACATCGCCGTGGAACTTTTTTTCAATGTAAGATGATGTCTCAAAATAGGTTGACGGGAATCCTGCTGCCGCACAATTTCAACGTGTTTTTAGATGAGGTTACGTTCGAGTATAGGCTAAATTTATGTGGCCCCTCTGGGCTGCCATATATTTTGCACTAAATTTAGTCGGGCACCATTTTGCAGCCGGTATTGTAAATGTTTTAATTCAACCTCGTCCCCAGTGCTTACTTTATTTCCAACCGCGTTTCCAATAGTAAACCCTGGATAGGAAACTTTCTTCCTGTATCCTGATTGGATACCGCAATTGGCTAGTAATGGATATTTATCGTGTACTTGGTGCTATTATTCACAACGTGCAGTACGTGTTTTCGCGATCATTTGTCCACGCCTTCTCGAAAATACTAATTTCCTTTCCAATTTGCTCATATTAATATGAACTATGATACTGCATGTTGTCTCGATAAGATCGTAACAGTTTGATTTCAAAAATCGTGTTTTCGTAACTCACGCCGTGCTCGCGCTGCTACGAATTGACTCTGTTTTTACCCCAGACACCGCATACAAAAACAAACGCTAATGTGTAACTCATATCCAGGCACCAGACTGTTCCTCATTTGCATACATGTGCACAAATCTTGCACATGCAAATGATCCAATACCAGGGTGAGAGAGCAGGTAGTGGTGGGCGCGTACTGCTCGACACCCTGGGAACGAGGTTGGTTTTAATTGTGCCAGACTGAGGGAGCGATGGTCGTGTATATCTGGAACCTGTAAACGCTTTAAAGAGGCGCAATATGTAAGGGAGCAGACTAATAACCAGCCTGACAGCACATGCACGATGTCGATGTCGCTGTTTGGTCTGACGTTACCGTTTTCTCTGATTTTTGTCTTGACTTTCCAAATTTCCCAAAGAATGTTCGTGTCGGTCGAGATTGTTATGGGTGCAAAATTCTCAAGCCTTATGGCCTTACCGAGGTCATCGCAGGTTCCACCCTGAGGGCTATTTTTGAGAGTTTTGGGGGGATAGGGGCGACCAAAATCCCCCAAAATGCCAGCCGTGGATATTCATTCAAAGGGGGAGGGAGGGGGGGGGCGTGGACAACACCATTACACTAGGGGCGTTGTTCATAATACAGCACATACATCTTTAACAAATGTATACATGTGCGTACGCGCCTTAAACATCAACACTGTACATTAAAACGGCGCATTTAATTAGAAACATCTCATTTTTCGATTGATGACATTCTGGTTGATGGGAAGTTTAAAAAAAAAACCCTGAAAATCCGCATTTTTTTCTCAACACGAAAAAGTGCGAGGGGTGGGAGATCCAATTGCCCATCCCCCCCCCCGGTCAAAAACTGGCCGGGGATGTATACCCCCCCCCCCCCTTCCCGGATTAACGCCCCTGCCTCCGACTTCCGTCATTTAAAGGGGAAAACTACTAACAAGTTAGTATGCAGTTCGAATCATTACATTACCACTGAGCTTTGTATGTTTTGTTTTTCTTTGACGCAGCTGTTCTTGCGATCTTCGATGGAGCACAACCGAGCTAAGTGCAGGGGAAAGCGCCAATGGTTTATCGGTCTTGGAGAACCTACCTGACCCGAGCTACCACCACTGGCTCGTCGTGGGCTGCCAGGCGGTCCATCGAAACTGCCCCGACGACTGCCTGGATGAGGCCCATGACTGGATGGGCGGGTCTGGGTTCACCAACACGGCGGGCCGGGTGGCCTGTGCGAGCGTGCGGAGGAACGCGCCTCCAGGCAGTCCGATCTACGTGTACGCAACGTACGACCCCAGCGTGTGCGGCGATCGCACGTGGCAGTATGTGGCCCCGCTCTGCTGCTGGGAGATCGCGTTCAGTGGCTACGACAACATCTTTCTGTACAACCACAGATGTGCAGAGTCGAGTAAACCAAGACTGAATCAGTCGAGCTAATTAGCTTCAACTTCATGCGAACTCTTTCCAACAGACTGTATATTATGCCTTACTCGTGAACGAAGGATGACGCTGTCGCGCGCTGTAACATTGCTATGGCTAAAAGATCATTGTTCAAACTTTAGTTTCCAGATTTAGATAAAGTTACTAAACTACTCCAATAAACGGCATTTTGAGGTTGTAGTATTCACAAAATAACATTGGTCACCCCCCTAAGTCGCTCAAATTTCTGTCATGTTAAAATTCAGAAAAGTGTAGTTTTAAAAACACCACTTTACCCTTTTGTAATAATTTCATTTTCAATTTTTAAACCCTAACTTAACGTGCAGTTGTCATGAAATAAACGGACATTTTGAGGCTATTCTTTCGTTTCATATTGGCCAGTGCTACAGCTTAGATTTTGCACCAGTGAAGGATGCTCGCACGTCCTTGCTATAAATAAATGCTTTGCCTAAGCATCTATAGGCCAGTCTAAAAATCATCTCTCGTTTCTATGTTTTCCATTTAATGCTTATGAGTGGTAATTTCTTGGTGGAGTTAAATTATGAAAGATGAGTTTATAAAGGGTCTCTCACATCGCTAATATCTATACACATTATTTTAGAGACTTTAGTCCACTAGCTTTTCAACAATGTAAAAAAATCTTTCCTATCAGGCAAATCTTTATTGAGTTATGGCCAATTGAAAACAAGCAGGGGTGGATCCAGATTTTTTTGCGGGGAGGGGGGGGGGGTAGATGGGTGGGTTCATCAGCAAAAAAAAGTCTGAAATGTCTGAAATGTCAGGGTTTTTTTCTCCGGACACTTGATCTCTGTAAATCAATGGGTGGGGTGGGGGCTCGTACCATATATATTTTCAATGGGGGCGCTGTTCAAATCCGACAATTATTAACACGACAGTCGAACCTCGTTAATAAGAGCACTGTTAATACAAGGTTCCTGTTATAACAAGGAAAATTGCTAGTCCCAACTCATGTTTTCTTTGTTTTCGACTCCTGATAATACAAGGTTCCCGTTATAACGAGGGAATTTGTAAAGTCCCAAGGACCTGTTATTAACGAGAGTCGACTGTATATTACAGAATAGTCTACAAATAGCCCCTAACCAAGCTGGCTCTGTCCGTATCTTTTATACCCAGGCGAAAATTTATACAGTATAATTTTGTTGAATGTCAGAGCGGGGGGGGGGGGGGAGGATTCGCATTTTTCTTCATGAATTTCTATGAAAACAATGAATTTTTGACAGAGCTGGGGTGGGGTTGAGCCCCAAACTCCCCCCCCCCCCCTCCGATCCGGGCCTGACAAGTACCGCATATGGTACCAATGTACTAGTACACATTTTTTCGTCTGCTCATTAATTTTTTTTTCTGACCAATGAGAGACGGCCACGAGGGTACGTTTCGCTATGTCTTGTAGGTGAGATATCGTCTTCCCGAGGTAAAATTTCATCACGGGTCGGTGATATCTTTTAGGTGAGATGTTGTCTTCTCGAGAAAAAAAAGATATATTTTCGGGTCGGTGATATCTTGTAGGTGATATATTCTCTTCCCGAGAAAGAAAATATTTCTCGGGTTGAAGATATCTTGTGTGTGAGATGTTATCTTCCCGAGAAAAAAAAGTATCTCGCGTAGATTATGTCTTTGTAATTTAGATATCGTCTTCCCGAGATAATATTTCATCACGGGTTGGTGATATCTTTTAAGTGAGATATCGTCTTCTCGAGAAAACAAATATTTCTCGGGTTGACTATATCTTTTGGGTGAGGTGTTATCTTCTCGAGAATAAAATATTTCTCGGGTAGATGATGTCTTATAATTTAGATATCGTTTTCCCGAGATAATATTTCATCACGGGCTGGTGATATCTTTTGGGTGAGATGTTATCTTCTCGAGAAAACAAATATTTCTCGGGTTGATGATATCTTGAAGGATATCGTCTTCCAGAGATGGTTTTTCACTGGTTGGCGATATCTTCATTTTCCCCGAGACCTAATCAGTTAATTTATAAATTAAAAACAGACGATAGATGTCAACTTTCTGAGATTAAAAAAATGATCTTGTCAAATCGTAACTAAAATACGGAGCTCTGTAAAATATGATTATTGTAAAGAATAAGTATATTTTACTGACTAAAAATCGTAAAAACAGCTTTTCCTATAACTCATTAACTAAAAAAAAAATGTAAATTTTAATCACAAGTTTTAAATCTTAAATTTAGAAAAATCCGATAAGGGTTTCCTGTTTCATAGGAAAATCAATGAAAAAGAGTAAGGCAAAGCTATATGTAGCCAAATAAAAATATACATTATGAAAGTGGATAGAGAACAAGTGATAATTGAATAATACTTATAAATAAGTAAAATTTGGATGATAGAGTATTAGGAGCTTAAGCTTGCCGCAAAAAGCCATGCAACAGCAGCTTGCAAGACGATTAGGAACTTTGGGAATTGGGGAGGGAACGAAATATATTAAAGAGGTTGTGGAATGCACAGTCCTGTTTATTACGTCACGATTTACTGTGTTTTGTTTGCTGCCCGCAACGACGACTTTTACACAGTTGCACGTTCGGGTCGAAACTGGACCTGAAAAACAGCTCTCAAAAGTACCTTTTGTACTTATTTCATGACAGAAACAATAGTCGTTTTTATTTCATCACACCTTAGGCTACATATACCCGAAAAATGACGGAAATGTCTTCGAGCATTCCACAACCTCTTTAAAATGTTTTACCAACGTTTTGATCCTGACAATGCCTTGTGCATTGACAATAACAACACAAGTTGGAATGTGAAAATAGAAGAATCAACGAAGCAGACGGACCCATGGAGATGTCAACATATCAACGGAAATTAATTTTAATCGACTTAATAATATCAATTTAATAATGGCATTGCCTTGAGCTTTGCCGCGTCAAAGCCATATTAATTTGCTGATTATTTTTGTGCAAAAAGACAAAGGAATAACCTTTTAGAAGTAATGGTGTAAAGTAGTTCATTAAGCATTCCTTTGAAAATTTCGCGAAATTGTTGTGTTGGTCAGTGTCCATTGGAATACCGCCCTCTATAGGTTAAAGTATACTATTGAGATAGGTGACACCTTGTTGGTTACTACTATTGAGAAACACGACACCCTTGATGGGTGCTACTATTGAGAAAGGCGACACCCTTGATGGGTGCCACTATTGAGAAAGACGATACTCTTGATGGGTGCAACCGCGAACACCCTTGATGGGTGCTACTATTGATAAAGACAACACCCTTGATGGGTGCTACATCGCCAACAATTCAACAGAATTATTAATGTATAAAGTTGTAAAATCAGTAACATAATTGTGTTTTAACACCCTTGATGGGTGCTGCTATTGAGAAACACGACGGCCTTGATGGGTGCTACTATTGAGAAAAACGACAAAGTTGAAGGGTGCTACCCCTAGAACGACGTCACCCTTGAAGGGTGCTACTAGTAAGAAACACGACACCCTTGATGGGTGCTAAAATTGAGAAAGACTACACCCTTGATGGGCGATACTATTGAGAGAACGACACCCTTGATGGGTGCTACTATTGAGAAAGACTACACCCTTGATGGGTGCTACCGAGAAAGACGACACCCTTGATGGGTGATACTTTTGAGAAAGACCACACCCTTGATGGGTGCAACCGAGAAAGACAACACCCTTGATGGGTGCTACTATTGAGAAAGTCAACACCCTTGATGGGTGCTACCGAAACAGTTGACACCCTTGATGGGTGCTACCGAGACAGTCAACACCCTTGATGGGTGCTACATCGCCAACAAATTAATTCAATGTAGAATTATAAATGTATACTGTCTATCAATGTATAATGTTTATAAATGTATAATGGATAATGTTTTGTAATAAGACAAAGGGGTCAAACATTATATTTATATTTCTCCAAGGAGCCTCAATCTCTGATTTTAAATTTATTTCTTCTTCTTCTCTCTTCAAAAAGGTTTGTTATAGTCATGTGGAACATTTTTCTTTTACAAATATGTGGTTTGGAGGATTTTTTTTCAAGGGAAAATAAAGTCCGATAACCTGACTTGCAACTCAACGTACTTCGAAATACGCACATGTGTACGGAAAAACATATCGCCACGTGTGGCACTATCAGAGCGCCATTTTGTTCTATTAATCACCTGATGAGTTGACCTCGAGAGACACAAAAGGTTACCGATAAAGTTCATGTCTATATTTGGACCATTCAATTTCAAACGCATTATCTCGCATTCTGATCGTTTGATCGAGCCCTACTCATCATGAGTATGAATTCCTTTGGGGAATCGGGCCGGTTTTTATGTGCCTCTACGCGAAAAAAATCATTAAAAACGGGACCCTTTTCACATCTGTCGCCACCACTTCATTACTCGACATAGTACACCTTAGATCTCACTACAGTGTGACCCTAACAATATACTCTTCAGAAAATGAAAGAAAACTGAATAAAACACTCAGGTTCACTCGCGCATTCTTATGTTAAACACTGCATTTTTAGTCAAAAAAATCTCCCTGTTTTGTGTGTAAACCGCGCGTTCAGCCAAGAACTAGCCCATTAACATCACCACAACGTTAAATAGCGCCACCTTGGAGCTTAGATCTCTTGAGTCATTTGTCTTCGTCTCGTCAGCTTTCCAACAGTATAACCCTTATTGCATTGGGATTGGTTGAGATTTAGGCTCGAGTGTGTTCATTTACATAATGCTCTTGGCTCCGCGCCTAGGGTCTGTATATTGTACATGTGCTAGGCAGCGATAGTGTACATGTACATGTACACCCACACACACACGCGCCTCCCCCCCCCCCCCCCCCCCCCCACACACACACACCGGAATTCCAACTCAAGAAGAAACTCAGCTTTATTGGCAGCAAAAAACTCTGTGGCCAACTTGCAACACTGCCACCAGTATGCTGCTGATTCCCAGCATACAAAACACGCAGTCTGAACAAATGTATATACAATCATGGAGCTATATCTAGTAACATTTTTACCCAACCGTATAATCTTTAGACAAGCCGTACCTGCGTAAGTGATAAAAAAAAAAACTTAGGCAACCTATTTTATTTATAGAGCCCGGAGCGCGCGCTGGCCGACCCAAAACCAGTAGCGCCCGGAGCCCCTCCGCTGGAGCCCTATGTGCTCCGTGCGCCAACATTGATGGGGTACCTGTGCACGGATCCCATAGTGCAAGAAAGCAATGACACCAAAAGTGCTGCATAAAGTGTCATGTTACAGTATAAATATTGCGATAATGCAACACTGGGTGTCCACAGAAATTTGGTAAGGTTCACCCGATCTGTAATAAATTAATATCCCGGTTGTTGAGCTCTATCATCCATGCATGCCGCCTAAGCTTGAAGTTGAACCGAGCTTATGCTTTTATCTTGTGCACATCATGCATAGCGACCTGAATGAAACTTTGCAATGAACAATATGTCGTCATCAAGCTCAGTGCTGTGAAACAGCCGTTCCTCATACAACTGTTAATACACAAAGCAGTACAATTGGGTGCAACCACGGCAGCAGTCTTAAGCTTTGAAATGGACATTGCACAACCTTTACGGTCTACAGTGTCGAGGTACTGATTGTACGTAGTTTTTAGCTCGTGTGCGTAAAACTACTTCGCTATTTTTCAATAATGGAGTGTGTAAGGATTGGATTTTTGTGGTGTTTAAAACGAATTTGTCTTTCAATACTTTCTTCTTTTCAGAAATAAAACCCCAGCAGCAGATATGAACGCCTTGAAGAATGACCACCCGACCTTGGCCAACCTACAGAGTGTCTTGGAAGAAGAGGGAATCGAATTCGTCCGCTTTGAGTTTGGCGACATGAACGGCATATCTCGGTGTAAAGTCGTGCCGTCTCGACATACTCTGGAGAAGTCCAAGCGAGGTGTCGACATGCCCATGGGTCATCTGAGCATGGACACGGCGTGTAACGTTGTCTCCGGTACCGGGTACACCAGGGATATCGGCTGGGGCGACGGGATTTACTTCCCCGATCTAAGTACCTTTCGCTCGGTGCCTTGGCTTCCAAACACCGCCCTAGTGTTGATGGAGCCGACTTTCCTCGGCAAGCCCATACCGTCCTACCCACGTTACATCGCCAGACGACAGCTGGATCGTCTTCAGGAGTTGGGCTACAGTCTGCTGTCGGCGCACGAGCACGAGTTCTACGTCATCGATGCCGAGTCCAAGAAGCCACTACACCAGGGAAACCTAAGGTCCTCTTTAAGCATCTTCGCAGACACTGATCTGATGTACGCCTTCTCGCGAAGTTTGACCGGGATCGGCGTGAACGTGGAAGCTTTGGACACCGAAATTTCCCCCGGTCAAGTTGAGATAACCTACAAACCGGCGTTTGGAATCCGCGCGGCTGACAACGCGCATCTGTACCGCGCAACTATTAAGGAGGTAGCGCAGAAACGGGGCTACATCGCCTCGTTCATGTCTAAACCGTGGGCGGATCGGAGCGGAAACTCCGCCCATTTTTGTCACTCCCTCTGGGATGCTGCAGGGAAGAAAGGCGTCATGTATGACCCTAGGGATGAGCTGAAAATATCCGAAGTGGCACGGCACTGGATCGCCGGTATCCTCGCCCACGCTCCAGCAATCAGTCTTCTCATGGCGCCAACTCCCAACTGCCCGAAACGATTCAAACCTCTCAGCTTCGCGCCAACCAACGCCACGTGGGGGATTGATAACCGGACCTGCGCCTTGCGTCTGAAGATACAAGGTGAGGCGGGAACCTACTTGGAGAATCGCATGGGAGCCAGTGCCAGCAATCCTTATCTGACGCTAGCCGCCACAGTGGCCGCTGGAATCGACGGCATCGCCAAGAAGCTGCCACTCCCAGCCCGAGTTACCGGCGAAGCGTTCGTGCAGGCCGACGTACCTCCTGGTACCCGGGACCTCCCCGGTACCCTCCAGGGCGCTCTGGAAGCCTTCGAAGCAGACAGCGTCATCACCGAGGCTTTTGGGAAGGAGTTCTGCCGAGCATTTCTCGCCATCAAGCGGTACGAGATGGAGAAGGAGAGGGAAGCACAAGCAAATGGAGACACCGACTGGGAATATCGCAACTACTTTGAGATGAACTAACCTGTCTGTCAGATATCTTACTGCACAGTAATAAGCCATTTCGCTCGAGCATACGCGCCAACTCGCCTCGATGACCATTTTTGGGGAAAACAAACATAGTGTAACATATAGAATTTGGATATAGTCTTTGGGACGTTTGACTATACTCAGATGTTAGGATACGAAAGCTGTGGCTAAGGGCGGGATGAACGATGACTACGAAGAATACAAAGACGCACTGGTATGAGCTCAGCATTATGGAGAAACTATTTTATTCTCAAGAACTCAATTAAAAACCTGGTCACAGATGAAGACTGGCCAGGGCTGAATCGGCTTATGGCTATGCCTCTGGTTTCCCAGGGAGAAAAAGGAGAACTCAATGAAAGTGGGGAAATGTGGGCATTTTATACAATTTCTGAGGGGCAACTTTAGGTGAAAATAGGACATGATGTCATATAAGGAAGACATAACTTATATGACATCATTTCTGAGTAAAGGTAGACTGACCATGGACTGACGTAATGGTCAGTCTGGGGGAGCACCCTCATGAGGTCATTTTCCCTGTACAAGGGTGAAATTGTTACGCCCCAACTATGGTAATGGTCCCAACTATAGTTGGAATTGTCCCAACTATAGTTAGGACGGTCCCAACTGTAGTTCCACAGTTGGGCTGGCCCGACTATAGTTGGGAGTCGAGGGGTCCAGCTGCGAATGCCCTATGGATGTTAGTCCGAGCATTTGGACATGGTCGGGTGATCGCCCTACCATGTCCAAATGTTAAAAAAGCGATCCGTAGAGTCCTAGTTACTCGGACTAAATGGATGTGCAGACGTTTAGTTTTTTTCGCTGGACAATACCTGACTTTATAATAAATCACCATGGAGATTCCTCCATGGAAACTGATAGAGGACTACACAGTAAACTCCCAGAACAAGGAAACACGTTTAAACTCAGTTTAGCACACGCCACGCGGCAACCATGGGATGGGGATCGAATAGAAATGAGCTTTTACACCCCCCCTTCCCAATAAACCGAAGAGGTCTCCCAATGTCAGATTTTTTTCTCCGTTATTTGTTTGTTAATAATATATTTTTCTCATCGTTGTTAATTATCTAAGCCACAATTGGATACGAATACTTTGTACATGTATTAATTCAATCGACCTGTTTTGATTTTTGCTGCTGATCGATCTGCAGCAAAAATCAAGATCGTTTCTATTTTTCTTCTGTAATTTATAATACATATTTCTGGTGGGGCCCATCTATAATTGGGCCATTCCAATCTTTGAATTGTGTGGTCCTAACTATAGTTTACGTTACTGTGTAACTAGCATCAATCATCATGGCCTACAGCTCATACGTCTGACTTTACTTGGGACAATTGAAATTAGCTATGGGTGGGACCCATTTATAGTTGGGCCACTCCAATCTTTTTATTTTGCGGTCCCAACTATAGTTTACATTAATGTACAACTATAAAACATTCCCTACAGCTCTGATACACGTCTGACTTTACTTGGAACTAATGAAATTAGCTATTGGTGGGGCCCATCTATAGTTGGGCCATGGCAATCTTTTTATTTTGCGGTCCCTTAATAGTTTACGTTGCTGTACAACTATAAATCATTCCCTACAGCTCCGATACACATCGTACTAGGGACCAATGACATTAGCTATGGGTGGGGCCTATCTACAGTTGGGCAACTCCAATCTTTTTATTTTGCGGTTCCAACTATAGTTTACATTGATGTACGACTATAAAACATTCCCTACATCATGTCCGACTTTACTTGGGACCAATGAAATTAGCTTTGGGCGGGGCCCATCTATAGTTGGGCCATGGCAATCTTTGAATTTTGCGGCCCTAACTATAGTTCACTGGCTGTACAGCTACCAAACATTAACAGCTCTGATATATACACGTCTGACTTTATTTGGGACCCGTATTGCCAATCTTTGAATTTTGCAGAAAAAAAAATGTTGCTGGACTATATAACCCAGCTGGACAACTCATCCAACTAGGCAGTACCACGTAGCCGGCCGGCCCTATGCGGCACGCATGCACGACGAATACATGGTGCCAGCGCCGCGGAACAGATGCTGTATCGAGCGTCCGGCCAACTCCAGTCCTAATTATAGTTGGGACAGTCCTAACTATAGTTGGGACCGATGCGATAGTTGGGGCGTAACAAAGTCACAATCTTGGTATGCTGTGGGTGTTTTGCTTGGAAAAGAGTGACGTGAAGACCTTGGGGTGTAATGTGGAACACCTGTTGTGAGAGTGGTAGTAGGGTGCTCATATGTACGGACAGTACCAATTTCGGTCTTTAGGCATACTGTCTTCCAGATAACGCACGTAAGTGCGGCGCCCGGTTTTCCATTTTTAGTTTAGATTTCCTAAGATTTTGGGGTTAGTTGCTACATTTCCTCACATTATGGGGTTAATTGGCAATATAATTGGCAATATTGTTTTTTGAGTGCTAATTCTCATCTGGTTTTAATTTTTTTAGGATAATTTTATGTCTTTTAACTTGTAATGAAACTTTTTAAACGGGGGTGCATTTTTCTCGTGTTTTGTTTTATTTGCTTGAATGTTGTTTGTTTTTGTGTGTTAATTCTTATCTGGTTTTTGTTTTATTAAGCTAATTTAATGTCTTCTTACTTGCTATGAAACTTTTTAACTTTGTAATGTTTAATGTAGACATCCATAATAATCGCCCTCTTCCTTTTGTTTGATTATTATTATTAATGGATATCTACTGTACTGTACTGTACTGTACTGTACTGTACTGTACTGTACTGTACTGTACTGTACTGTACTGTACTGTACTGTACTGTACTGTACTGTACTGTACTGTACTGTACTGTACTGTACTGTACTGTACTGTACTGTACTGTACTGTACTGTACTGTACTGTACTGTACTGTACTGTACTGTACTGTACTGTACTGTACTGTACTGTACTACTTGGAAACTATATACAATAAGTTTAGTGGGTGAATTTCGTATGCACCTGACGATTTCTTAAGTAGTTAAATCCTGTTAACTATTGCAGCTGTATTTAATCTTTGCATATCTCATGTTTTTAATAATAATCTATTTAATGGATATCTACTGTACTGTACTGTACTGTACTGTACTGTACTGTACTGTACTGTACTGTACTGTACTGCACTGTACTGTACTGTACTACTTGGAAACTATATACAATAAGTTTAGTGGGTGAATTTCGTATGCACCTAACGATTTCTTAAGTAGTTAAATCCTGTTAACTACTGCAGCTGTATTTAATCTTTGCATATCTCATGTTTTTAGTAATGATCTATTTAATGGATATCTACTGTACTGTACTGTACTGTACTGTACTGTACTGTACTACTTGGAAACTATATACAATAAGTTTAGTGGGTGAATTTCGTATGCACCTAACGATTTCTTAAGTAGTTAAATCCTGTTAACTATTGCAGCTGAATTTAATCTTTGCATATCTCATGGTTTTAATAATGATCTATTTAATGGATATCTACTGTACTGTACTACTTGGAAACTATATACAATAAGTTTAGTGGGTGAATTTCGTATGCACCTAACGATTTCTTAAGTAGTTAAATCCTGTTAATTATTGCAGCTGTATTTCATCTTTGCATATCTCATGTTTTTAATAATGATCTATTTAATGGATATCTACCTCAGCGTTATGAAGAAAAGTTGTCCCCTTAAGAGATTCATTTACAGGAATTGTTAATTTCACTTTAATGTCTCCACAATTTATAAGTAAACTTAACAGTCTTTTTATTTTTACGGGTGTTAAAGTTGGTTTCTACGTGCTTTTTCAAAATTTCTAATTCCATTTTCGAACGCAGTTTGAAGGAATATATAATGCCCTGTAACAAATCCATTTGCTTGGTTGCATTTGCAGGCCTTTATATAGTTTTAAAAAGTAGTTTTACACAGCGCGCTCAAGTTCAGAAAGTTTTGAGATTCCTCTCAGAGGATTGCAAAACTCGTAATTCTCCAAGTCTATAGCACAAATGAGTATAACGTTCACACATGCACTTTATTATTATAGTCTGCACACGGCTCATGGGCGGATCCATTGTGGTGTCGGACAAATCAACAGAATACTTAAACTACAGAAACAGATTTTGCGAATAAGTAACTCTGCTTGGTACCTGGAACATAGAAATCCTCTTTTTTGTAATTATAAAACTCTTAAAGTAACTAATATTTATTCTCTCCAGCTTGGAACCTTCACGCACCATCTAAATCATAACAAATTACCTAAATCCATCTATTCTATGTTTACCAAAAAATAAAGAAGTGCACCAGAATTTCACCAGATAGTGTAGCAAATATATCATCAGTCCTTTGCTCGTACCACTCTCGCCCAAAATGCAGTCAAGCATGAGGGTCCCAAGCTGTGGAACTCCCTAGATGTTTCTTTTAAAAAAAATTATGGAATCTTCCATTTTTTAAAAAAAAATATGACGCCATACTACTAACTAGCCAGGGTATTTAAACTCTATTTAGTCCACTCATTTACATATTCTCACAAGGTTACAAGACTTACTGTCCTTAGTTTACTATCTTATGGTATGTGTATTTAGTGTTAATGTAATTGTTGATTAATATTTATGGGGATCCCTACTCGATAAGCAGTTGCATCTTTGGGACCCCCATCTACATTTACTTTGCTTTTCGTATAATTATACATGTATTGCGTAGACACCAATTAATGTGGAAAATATACAATGAATGAATGAATGAATGAATGAATGAATGAATGAATGAATGAATGAGTGAATGAATGAATGGGGGGGGCAACGGGGGCCATGTCCCCCCCCCCCCCCCAAAAAAAATGAACCCAATATTTTTTTTTAAGTGACGTCGCAAAAATGGCAGGCATTGCGTACACCACAATCTTTTCCGGTTCCTCATACAAATTTGGTTAAAGTGGTCAGAAATTGCCTCAGATCCCACCACAGAGCATCTAGAATCCAAAAAAGTTTCGGGGCCCGCATCGCCGTAACTTTTCGACCCACTTTTTGGGGGGCCCAAATTTTTTTGCTGTATGCCCCCCCCCCCCAAAAAAAAACCAATTGTGTTCTTGATCTGCCCTTGACACAGCTCACACAACATAGTAATGGGGAGGGGGCCGACGATCACGTACCTTCGGAGTCCCATGATGGCCACTCCCCAATGTGTGAATATAATTGACATGGAGTAAAACCATAATGCAGATAAAGGATGCTGCTATGGAAAGGTACTGGGAAAATATAATGATAAGGTATATATTCTGAAACAAGCCATGGGAAAAACCTCATGTGGTACATGGGGTTAATTCCATGGGAAAAATCCCATGTAATACCTGGGGTTAATTCCATGGGAAAAGTCCCATGTGGTACATGGGGTCCAAAACCCCATGTACCACCATGGGAAATCGCCATGGCGATCCCATGGGAAAACGCCATGGCGATCCCATGGGAAATCGTCATGGCGATCGCTATGGGAATCGCTATGGGACATTTTTGTAAGGGAGCAAAATGACTTCATGTTTAACATTGTTGAGGAAGTCCTAGAATTGTTAATTTGTTTAATGTTTAGCAAACCAGCCTTTTCTTTATATTTTTGTTTTACTTCGTTTTGTGTAAATATTCTCATTTACCAATTGGCGGGTGCCACCAAGATTTCGGCGCGAACCATAGATGATTGTGTTTAATATATTTCATTTACTGTAATCTGTGTTTAATTCTTTAAGTTAGTTATTATACATTGTTATATTATTCTTTATCGAAGACTCATCCACATCACTTCGCCATCGCTCTTCACAGAATAAATCGGCAAACACAAGATCTTTGTCGCCGCTTGCCTCTTTCCTATTTCGGCCCAATTTCTACCTGGGCTACATATATACATTTTGTGGTGTATAAAAACACACATACACAGTAATAAAAAAAAATATACCATTCATCGATACATTTTTAAATATTGCCTCATTAACCCACAATTCTGGAATTTTGCAACATTTCTGTCACATGCACGTACTCAGGGTTATGCTTAAGAATTTCGCATCGAGTAAGGGCTTGTATGATAATAATTAAAAATCCAGGAACAGCAATACAAATTGGCAAAGACAAGCCCAATCTATGTTCACAGAAACACTTTTATTTTGTTGGAATTTATTAGTAATACACTGCTCCTGCATTGAATGAGTGCTTTCAAATAGACAAAAAGTTAACGCAAGTTGCGGTATTAAAGGGCCTATGACGTTCTTTATCTACTCCCCACTAAGTGTGGACTGTTCGCCTGTACCGTTCGGTGTTGTTTTCGTCATTCGAATCCCCGTTCTGACGTCCATTCAACACGAGAACGGTGTTTCCAATGGCTGCTGAGTTTATCCACCATAATGGTTACCATATGGTTGCAGACCAGTAAATCGGTCCGAAATTGCCTAAGCCGGCCAAATCACGATTTGTATGCCCTCAAAATCTTCAGTATTTGAGCATGCTGTGGGCCATGAACTTGAGGGTTTGTAAAAAAATATGGGTGGAAGCCGTGCACAGGACTGTGAACTTGTAGTTCCGTTCAATTTGGATGAAATTGGGGCCCTTAAAGCGCTCTATTTTGCAATGGAGTGTAGGCATCTTTTTCAAAATGGCGATGGGCTTCGGACTACTTTCAGGGGTGATCATCTTCGGATGGAAATTTCTCCTAAAAGTCATCAGTTGACCCCCGAAAATTGAAAAGAAAATGAAAGATGATGAAATATAAGCTTTAATTTGATGTGTGTCTCGAACACCTTGGAGAGTTGTGAGTATTTTCCCCGAATTTCTGAAGTGGGAGCATTTACCATTGGGGTCTATGGAAGTTTATTTACTGGTCTGTAACCATATGGTCGAAGCAATTATGTCACCCTATCAGAAAGGGCTCATCTCAAACTTCATCTCCTGACTGTTTTAAATTCTCGTTCAGTGGCATATCTGGCGGGAGAGGTCCCTGGGCACGCCGAGGCAGAGGTAACTCTACCCAAAAAATTTCCAAGTTGAGAAGTGGGGGATATAATAGCCAGGACACCAAAACATACGGAGCCGACTGAACGGCTAGTGTCATACGCGGGAAACTGTATACTATACGCGTGATATATAATCTGTATATGAATTAGCTGTGCAGCGGTATTCTGGTAGTATATGCGAAATATTAGCTAATCAACAGGAATTTGGTATTGTAGTGTAAGCTTATTGGGCCCCTGTCCTCCATATCTAGCAAAACGCAGGAAAAGGGGACACACACACACACACCCACCCACGCTCACCCACCCACCCACCCACACTTGTTTCACATGACTAGTGTGGACTTTCCATTGCTTTCGTGTAGTTAAGAAAAACCAGTGAAAAAACTCATTTTTCTCAAACTGTGAAAACTCTTTCAACCCAATTTGTTTTCTATGATTCCCTTTAGTGTTTCTCTTCATTCTGCTACAGATAAACCTAACCCAAAAATGCCTCTAAACCTGTTTTCCAGAAATGGGGAAACACTGTGTGGACGTGGGGTAAGTCCACACAACGTCGGTGCTACCTACATTATGTGGACGTCTTTTGTTCGGAAGTCCACACTGCGTATGTAAGACAAACTCACCCACCCACACATACGCCACACACACACACACACACCCAGACTCAGGGAGCGCTATCTGCATGGCTGTGCGCTTTGATCGGTTTACATGGGGTCCTTTTGACTGCAAAGGATTTGAATACGATAAACGATTCCATTACATAGTCCATATTTCACACTACTGACTGTACTACCACGCAACAACTCCAAATACTTATCAGGGCTTCGTAAGCCTCAAAGGTTTGCCCTATCTACAACGTTGATTGTGTTCTTTCGATTTTAGATCACAATAATTATTTTAAATTTCAAGTGCGTCCTGACCGTGAACTTGTAAAGTTTTTAGCAAACCTTCTAGACTACGCTTACAGTATCGCATCACAGGAATCCAGTGAGGTATTAGATCGGATCGGAGCAATATGGCGGAGAAACGAAAGGTCAAAGGTGAGTGGTTGCTGGACATACGTTCACACAGGCTATCTGCTGCTTGGACCCAAATTCGCCAACATAAAAAAAAATGGAATTCACATGAATTTTCAAGTTACACGCAAACTACACACTGTCTATAAAAAAATGTGGGTAAAACCATAATTATTGCATGGTAAAACTATGAAGAAAGGAACCATTATGTTTACATGCAGTGGCGTATCAAGGAGGGGTGGGGCGCCGGGGGAGGGACCGTCCGGGGGGGGGGGCGTCTGAGGGGGGCACATGCTTCCCACGAATTTCCAGTGCCCCCAGGTGCCCCTCCCCCACCTGACCATAAACTGGCATCGGGTCGGGTTGACAGCAGCTACCCGGATTGACACCAAATTGACATTCTAATCAGAGCTGCAATCATCCGAACGATCCGATCCAACAAACTCTATAGGGAAAAGCGACCCGAACGAAACCCGAACTGGCTCGAACCGGACCATTGCCTTATAATGACGGCACCAAGCCAACAAAAAAAAGAAAAGAAAAGAAAGAAACACTCACAAAACTTATAATGCTTGTAACTAGCTGTGCCCAGCAGCAGTAGGCCTACGATCGTAACCCGTTTTTCATTTTAAGGTTTAATGGAACGCCTGCGCGATGGTGAGACGGTCATCTGCGCGGAGGGATATCTCTTCGTGTTCGAGCGACGCGGCTATTTGACAGCCGGCTCATTTGTGCCGGAAGTAGTTCTGGAACATCCGGAATTAGTCCGGCAACAGTATGAGGAATTCGTCCACGCCGGAAGTGACGTCGTGCTGGCGTTTACGGTAAGTTAATTTTGAAATCAAACTAAACTAACTTTAAAATAACACCAGAACAGTTTCAGTTTTTGTACATGTGTCTTGAAGTCGTGACAACCGCCCAATTCTATACATTTCAGTATTACGCACATCGTGAAAAGATGGCACTGATTGGTCGAGAGGACGATCTGGAGCGAATCAACAAGCACGCTCTGCGCATGGCACGTGAGGTGGCTGACCAAACTGGTACTCTGATGGCTGGTAACATCAGCAACACCAACATCTTTGTGGACACTGTGCCCAATTACCGAGAGAAAATCAGGCAGATTTTCAAAGTAGGTATTCGTCATATTTTTTTTCAAGCAAACATTCCTTTCACAATAAGTTCATTGACTGTGTGCATTTGGTTGCAAATTGTTCACTTCTGTACGCAGACATAGTTACGATGTACACGTGCATTGTTCAATGGTGATTTATCTGTTAGAGGTATAGGCCTAATAGGTCACGTTTTTGAGCCCATGGAACGAATAATGAAGATTCACTTGCTTGTTTACTTTTGTTCGTTATTTTTGCTTCTGGAAATGAAACCAAAGACTCCTCAAAAATGTTCCACTACAGTACAAGCCTGAAGAACCCATAAAAAGAAGACAATGAGATAAATTACAGTGGTTTTTTGAGGTGGGAGGAAAACCTTTGTAGATTTAACACTTTACAAAGAGATTGGTACAACATTGCTGGGCAATGTTATTTTCAAAGCATTGGTATAGTTACTCCATTCGTTAAATCGGGTACAAATTGACCAATTTCATGTGTTGGGGAAGAACCTTTGGTTTGTTGGGATTATGCATACCTGAACTTTTAGTACATTCATTGTTACCAAATTAAAATTACAAAAAAGTACCCTGTAAGATGGCCGTTGTACGCATAAGGTCTATTACGCAATTTGATTATTTTGTGTTTCTTTTTCTTTTTCTCTGTATAGTTGCTATATACTCTGGAAATTACGCGCGCGCGATGTCTCGACGCGCGTCTAGTTTCACACACTAGCCCATATTAGTGAATCACACGTGACCGCGTTTCAGCCAACCAGGATAAAGAACAAGCAGGAGATGTGTTTTAAAAACGAAAATAGCCTCACAATGTTCATTTATTACGTTTACTGCACGTTAAGTCAATCAATAAAAAAATCGGTAATTATGACTACTGTTTTCTAAATTTTAACGGGACAGAGTTCAAGCGACTTAGAGGGTGTAACAAATTATGTTCTGAGTACTACAACTTCCAAAATACCGTTCATTGAAGTAGTTTGGTACTTTGACTTATATCTGAAAATTAAATTTGCAACAATTTATTGTTTCGCAATAGCAATGTTACAGCGTCAGCGCTATGCAGTCTGTGAATGAGTTCACATGAAGTTGAAGCTTCGCTAGTCAGCATCATGGCACCAACCATCATGTGTATGGTAGTAACTAGAAACAACTCAGCATCCTGGGTTAGTCGGTGGACATGGATCCTCACATCTGTGGTTGTACAGAAAGATGCTGTCGTAGCCAGGGAACGCGATCTCCCAGCAGCAGAGCGGGGCCACATACTGCCACGTGCGATCGCCGCACACGCTGGGGTCGTACGTTGCGTACACGTAGATCGGACTACCTGGAGGCGCGTTCCTCCGCACGCTCGCACAGGCCACCCGGCCCGCCGTGTTGGTGAACCTAGACCCGCCCATCCAGTCATGGGCCTTATTCAGGCAGTCGTTGGGGCAGTTTCGAAGGACCCGTCTGCAGCCCACGCTCAGCCAGTGGTGGTAGCTCGGGTTATGTAGGTCCTGCAAGACCGATAAACCATTGGCGCTTTCCCCTGCTCTTAGCTCGGTTGTGCTCCATCGAAGATCGCAATAACAGCTGCGTCAAAGAAAAACAAAACATACAAAGCTCAGTGGTAATGTAATGATTCGAACTGGATACTAACTTGTTAGTAGTTTTCCCCTTTAAATGACGGAAGTCGGAGGCAGGGGCGTTAATCCGGGAAGGGGGGGGGTATACATCCCCGGCCAGTTTTTGACCAGGAGGGGGGGGGGTGGGGATGGGCAATTGGATCTCCCACCCCTCACACTTTTTCGTGTTGAGAAAAAAATGCGGATTTTGAGGGGTTTTTTTTAAACTTCCCATCAACCAGAATGTCATCAATCGAAAAATGAGATGTTTCTAATTAAATGCGCCGTTTTAATGTGTTGATGTTTAAGGCGCGTACGCACATGTATACATTTCTTAAAGATGTATGTGCTGTATTATGAACAACGCCCCTAGTGTAATGGTGTTGTCCACGCCCCCCCCCTCCCTCCCCCTTTGAATGAATATCCACGGCTGGCATTTTGGGGGATTTTGGTCGCCCCTATCCCCCCAAAACCCTCAAAAATAGCCCTCAGGGTGGAACCTGCGATGACCTCGGTAAGGCCATAAGGATTGATTATGTTTCCTATTCAACCGCTGTTTATAAGACATGAAAAGGTCCACCTCATAAAACCACCTTCCATCGACTGGCTATGGCCCTGATGATTTGTATTTTTCAGATGCTTTCAGGTTAAAAATGAAGGAATTATTACAAAGCAAAATTAATCCACTATGACACATAGTTTCAGAACAGAGGTTCGATTTGTTTTTGTAAACCATATGCGGAGGAATTGGAGGTTGGTGGCCTGAACTTTATCAACTGATCACCCAACGGTAAAAGTTGGGGAAAGTCCCTTCGATACGACTGATGTCGTGCCAAAAACCGTCCGGTGCCAAATAGTGTCCGCTAACTAGCATAATGCGATCTGATTGGTCGTGCGTCCATGACGTCACATTGTTTACGGAAGCTTGCAAATAGTGTCCAACGGTAAAAGTTGGGGAAAGTCCCTTCGATACGACTGATGACCTCGAAGTGCAAGGGCCAATGACGGGGAAAGCAGCGGGGGAGAATTGTCTTCGAATGATTGATGGTTAAAACGCACGCAAAGATGTAAATGTTCGTGTTATGCTTATGATTATGATTTATCTTGTCGTTGGAGACATTGATAGGTGTCGGCGATGCGTGCTTCGATCAAGCTTCTTAAAAAGTTGCAGGGTTTCAGACCTTTTAAAGCGCAACCCTCACACAGACTAGTCTATGCAATAGACCATGGACATTTGAGCAGATTCGCTGATTAATTGTACAAGACAACCGCATCTTGACCTCTAGATTTTGACCAAACAGAAATAACGTTGGTTATAATGCTACACGGAACAGTACTATACTACACACACTACGGCGTTACTTTAGGCCTATTCGTACGTACTGCATGTGTTTCAAACAGGTGAACTGACACGGAAAAAAAACACATTTTGCACAAATATAATGTTTACACTATTAGGGAAACTTAGTCAAATAGTTATCACAGATAACAAGGAAAACGTTAAAACAGATTGTAAAATGTAAATTCAGGTGAAAAGAGATCTTATCTATACGACGCCTTGACATCTCGACAAGGCACGCAATAGGATGCACGCTAAGCGCGGACACTATTTGCAAGCTTCCGTAAACAATGTGACGTCATGGACGCATGACCAATCAGATCGCATTATGCTAATTAGCGGACACTATTTGGCACCGGACGGTTTTTGGCACGACACCTGTCTTAATCATCAATCATTCGAAGAAAATTCTCCCCCGCTGCTTTCCCCGTCATTGGCCCATGAACTTCGAGGTCATCGGTCGTATCGAAGGGACTTTCCCCAACTTTTACCGGACGGTTTTTGGCACGACACCGGGCTTCGAGGTGAGCCAGTTGGAATCCTAGTTGCAATCCTATAAATACGGCACACCGGTTGTGGAGCTGGCACAGAACGGCCAAGAAAGTTAAGGGAAGCGACTTCAACTGCCGAACAGACGATTTCAAGTTGAGAGAAGCCGACACTTTATAGTTGCAATAATTCGACAAGATGAATGCCTGTCATGTCATCTTTGTTGTCGCCATTTCGGCCATCATGATCCTCGGTGCAAATGCAGACCGTAAACAGTAAGTTCCGATTAAAGACTTGATTTAAAGCAAAGCAAAACAAAACAAATCTCCTGTTTCTGGTACACGCGCACATCGCCGTGGAACTTTTTTTCAATGTAAGATGATGTCTCAAAATAGGTTGACGGGAATCCTGCTGCCGCACAATTTCAACGTATTTTTAGATGAGGTTACGTTCGAGTATAGGCTAAATTTATGTGGCCCCTCTGGGCTGCCATATATTTTGCACTAAATTTAGTCGGGCACCATTTTGCAGCCGGTATTGTAAATGTTTTAATTCAACCTCGTCCCCAGTGCTTACTTTATTTCCAACCGCGTTTCCAATAGTAAACCCTGGATAGGAAACTTTCTTCCTGTATCCTGATTGGATACCGCAATTGGCTAGTAATGGATATTTATCGTGTACTTGGTGCTATTATTCACAACGTGCAGTACGTGTTTTCGCGATCATTTGTCCACGCCTTCTCGAAAATACTAATTTCCTTTCCAATTTGCTCATATTAATATGAACTATGATACTGCATGTTGTCTCGATAAGATCGTAACAGTTTGATTTCAAAAATCGTGTTTTCGTAACTCACGCCGTGCTCGCGCTGCTACGAATTGACTCTGTTTTTACCCCAGACACCGCATACAAAAACAAACGCTAATGTGTAACTCATATCCAGGCACCAGACTGTTCCTCATTTGCATACATGTGCACAAATCTTGCACATGCAAATGATCCAATACCAGGGAGAGAGAGCAGGTAGTGGTGGGCGCGTACTGCTCGACACCCTGGGAATGAGGTTGGTTTTAATTGTGCCAGACTGAGGGAGCGATGGTCGTGTATATCTGGAACCTGTAAACGCTTTAAAGAGGCGCAATATGTAAGGGAGCAGACTAATAACCAGCCTGACAGCACATGCACGATGTCGATGTCGCTGTTTGGTCTGACGTTACCGTTTTCTCTGATTTTTGTCTTGACTTTCCAAATTTCCCAAAGAATGTTCGTGTCGGTCGAGATTGTTATGGGTGCAAAATTCTCAAGCATTATGGCCTTACCGAGGTCATCGCAGGTTCCACCCTGAGGGCTATTTTTGAGAGTTTTGGGGGGATAGGGGCGACCAAAATCCCCCAAAATGCCAGCCGTGGATATTCATTCAAAGGGGGAGGGAGGGGGGGGGGCGTGGACAACACCATTACACTAGGGGCGTTGTTCATAATACAGCACATACATCTTTAACAAATGTATACATGTGCGTACGCGCCTTAAACATCAACACTGTACATTAAAACGGCGCATTTAATTAGAAACATCTCATTTTTCGATTGATGACATTCTGGTTGATGGGAAGTTTAAAAAAAAAAACCTGAAAATCCGCATTTTTTTCTCAACACGAAAAAGTGCGAGGGGTGGGAGATCCAATTGCCCATCCCCCCCCCGGTCAAAAACTGGCCGGGGATGTATACCCCCCCCCCTTCCCGGATTAACGCCCCTGCCTCCGACTTCCGTCATTTAAAGGGGAAAACTACTAACAAGTTAGTATGCAGTTCGAATCATTACATTACCACTGAGCTTTGTATGTTTTGTTTTTCTTTGACGCAGCTGTTCTTGCGATCTTCGATGGAGCACAACCGAGCTAAGTGCAGGGGAAAGCGCCAATGGTTTATCGGTCTTGGAGAACCTACCTGACCCGAGCTACCACCACTGGCTCGTCGTGGGCTGCCAGGCGGTCCATCGAAACTGCCCCGACGACTGCCTGGATGAGGCCCATGACTGGATGGGCGGGTCTGGGTTCACCAACACGGCGGGCCGGGTGGCCTGTGCGAGCGTGCGGAGGAACGCGCCTCCAGGCAGTCCGATCTACGTGTACGCAACGTACGACCCCAGCGTGTGCGGCGATCGCACGTGGCAGTATGTGGCCCCGCTCTGCTGCTGGGAGATCGCGTTCAGTGGCTACGACAACATCTTTCTGTACAACCACAGATGTGCAGAGTCGAGTAAACCAAGACTGAATCAGTCGAGCTAATTAGCTTCAACTTCATGCGAACTCTTTCCAACAGACTGTATATTATGCCTTACTCGTGAACGAAGGATGACGCTGTCGCGCGCTGTAACATTGCTATGGCTAAAAGATCATTGTTCAAACTTTAGTTTCCAGATTTAGATAAAGTTACTAAACTACTCCAATAAACGGCATTTTGAGGTTGTAGTATTCACAAAATAACATTGGTCACCCCCCTAAGTCGCTCAAATTTCTGTCATGTTAAAATTCAGAAAAGTGTAGTTTTAAAAACACCACTTTACCCTTTTGTAATAATTTCATTTTCAATTTTTAAACCCTAACTTAACGTGCAGTTGTCAGTAAACGGACATTTTGAGGCTATTCTTTCG